CTGGCTTTTTTTCAAATACTGGCCCCAATTGACCATCGCACTTGTTTGCAATCGATTACAAACCTATGAACGGGTACGAGCCAGCTAGACTGGTTCCCTGACCTTACAATTCCCCAATGTATGTAAACTGCTCTGTTTCTTCTTATATGGAGTCAGGGAACCAGACTACAGGAAAATGATTGTTTTTCTTGGTTTTTATAGCATTTTTGAACCCAAAACCTCAAAAAACTCAGTGTAACTATATTTGCTATATATTTCCAACCCCCCAATTCCATCCATTTCTGAAAATTACAGTAAAAGCAAATGATGTATATTCCCTTTAACCGTTCTGGATCATGTTTGTGTTCGTCATGCACGCCCCCTGCCCTAGCATGGGCTTTGGGTTTGAGTACGTGGTTCAAGGACCACATTCAGTTAAACTGCATCCTCCATTTTCAATTATATGAAAATATTTTGGAAGATATGCGGGTCTGAGAAAGGCTATACCTAACCTCGTTCCCAGGGTGTCGAGCAGTACGCGCCTAGTGTCACCTGGGGTATTGCAGTCTTGAAAATCCACTCGAGGAACCAAAACAAAAAATACCATGTCTTTTTAATTGTAGTTTGCTCTCCAATCATGTTTCAAATCAGCGAATGGCTTTTATCAGATTCGAACCCGAAGAAGAATGTGCATGAGTCTGGAGAGGCGTAAATTTTCGTCACTGCCCTTAATTACTACGATTTCGACGCTGTATCGCTGAAAAAAAGGTAGGCCTACAGGTCTATAGCGCACAGTTCAGTTAAACATTAAGATTGAATGATGTTGTACGTGTCTTATTAAATGTGACATTTTAAAGCACTCTTCAATTATTGTGACCAAATTAAATGTGCCTACACACATTGGCATCGCAGGCCAATGTGATACTGTTTAGACATGACACCCGTGTTTCGTGAAATGGTTTTTGGTGATGGAAGAAAATAATGTGGTCAGACCGAGATAGCTTCTCGTCAATAGGCCCAGTAATGCCTTAAAAGGTGCAGGAGTGAACTTGGGTGATAGGAAGATTATCAATGTGAAGAATAGAAGTGCCGTTAAGCTGATGAGAAGAATCGCTGAAGAACATGAATTTAGTTTTACGGTGATTAGCAGAAAGTTTGTTGGCTTTAAACCAGGAAGAGACATTGGTGAGTTCGGCATTCATGACGTTAAAGAGAAGATTCCGGATTGGGGTCGGAGTAAGTAATAGTTGTGTCGTCAGCAAATTGAGTGAAAGAAAGGATAAGTCGTTGATATAAAGCAAGTCGTTGATATAAAGCAGGAAAACAAGTGGACCCATTATAAATAATTAGTACGTATGTGTCGTGAATAAAGGGTCATGTTGGCCAACTTGGCCGCGAACGGTGTGTATTTTGAAGGAGCATTGCGGCCAACACGGTAGGGCATGCGGCCAATGGCCGCGGTTATTGTCGAGGAAGCATCAATATACGACGTTACTTCTACACTTTTAATACCGATTGAACTAAAGAGTTTAATCCAGGCATTTTCCCTGCAAAGGCTTAACTCGCTGGTTTATGAGCGAGTGTAATATTATCGCACTGCTCACAGTCACACCTCGCTTGACTTGCAGGACATTTATTGAGATTTATTGTCAGCTTGTGAATGCGCCAAGTGAAGGTTGCCTGAGCATATAGATTCATACATTGTAGACCTGGAAGTCTGATACTCACATTCACTTCATTCATGCTTCTGCAATGCAACCCATCTATCCATAACCTCCACTTAAACCGACCGTTAATCAAATATACAGCTGTTTTTCAAGACCACCGTAAAACGACATGGCTAGGCCTATAGACTATATAATATAAATAGTGCTTGGGTTTGAATGGCTAATTCAAACCTTCAGCAAAGTCGCAATTTCCCAAAACACGATGTCGAAGGTAATTTGGATTAACGCGTGTGTAATGGAGGACAATCGACGAATAGTCTTCTTATGTTAAAGGGACACTGGGTCCTGGAATAGCCCAATTTGGGCTACAAAACGCGCTCTGAACGAAATGATGTTAATCGGAAAGAACATTTACAAGTAGGATATAAACATCCACACAACTATCATTTAAAAACTGGGCGTTTTGTGTTATTACTGTATTATGCGTTAGAGAACGAATTTCGGGGTCCACTTTTGCGACCCCAAAAAGTCGAACTGTTTGGGTTCTAGTTGTGATTTCATTCGTAAAGCGTTCACCTTTGGTGGGCGTCGAAGAAAATAAATTGTGTGCATTGGTAATTGGTCACCGCTGTTCCCGAGACAAACGTGTATATCGTACAAACAGGGAACGACAGTGAAAAACGTATTCGTGCTCCGTTGTGTCCGATGTAAACAACCGGGTTTTTTTTCGTCTTTTCTCGGGAACGGTAAGACGTTAGGTTGGTTTCCTCCAACTAGATGTTTGAAATAGGATAAGTAAACAATCCAAAACATGAAATTTTCGGGAATATCGGAAATAGTGCCCCTTTAAACACTGAAGCAATTTAATGACATTTACAGGAGTGAGCAAAATACACGATCGTCAGTTCTCTGAAAAGATCTCACCGCGTCGGGTGCCCGGCAGACGGGCATATGAACATTCTGACGCAAACCCCACGCGTATTACACATCGTACGATTTTGAAATTTGTCACAAGTATCAATCATGAGTTTTGGAACAACCTTTGTTAATTTCTGACGAAAATGTTTAAATTTCAATAAAATAGAGGCAGTTTTCTGCATATACCCATTTGCTGGGAACATTTTGGTGTTTAGCGCTGTTGCATAAGGGAACACGCGCATAATTATATGCCCTTCTGCCGGGCACACGAAAACATTGCCACGATACATTTAATTACTGGGCTGACTTGTCCGTACACTAACTACATCATCTTGAATCAACTCGTACCATTTGTACTGCTTAAGAAGCTGACTTTATTCAGGGTGAACTCTTCAAATTTAACAACTTTGTGTAAGTCAATCTCATTTACTGTATGAAATAACTGTCTAGTGGGATGGGGAGGGGATGCTGCTCGTCGGGCGGTAGTGCAGCAGACGGCAAGGGTGATCGGTGAGTGTCAGGAAGAGGTAGACTCGGTCTATCACTGTCGTTTGGAAACTAGGTATTGTTCGGTTTGGAATGATGAGAGTCATCCATTACATGAAATATCTGCCAGGCAAATCATTCCGAGTCGTGGTAGGATGAGACTCCCGAAACCTGGGACAAAATCACGATCATTCATACCCAGAGCCATCACATTCAATAATTCAAATTTTAATTGTTAGTTTTCATTTTTAAGAATCACTGACAGTGACAGTGACATATTTTGATATGTTTTTAATTACATCTAAAATTCTATAATTTGAATGTAAAATTGTGTAAGTATTAATTCTTTTATACCGTTGAGCAAATGTAATTTCCTGGATGGATCAATGAAGTAATTCAATTCAATTCAATTCAATTAATTTCAATTCAATTTAAGTTTACGGGGTTCTTCGACGCGATCTTAACTTCAGTGTCTTTCGTGGACTATTCGGACTATCTACGGTATAGTACTCCGAACCCAACGAGGGATCCGCTCAAGTGCTACTAACATTTCTCCCCGAGTCGCCAGTATGTCGTTTCGAGCGACGATCTCGATCCCTTTTTTTATCGGACATGGGCAGATTTTGTTTGATCGGTTTGATCTGTAAGATGATACAAATCAAACATAAAAGTCCCTTCTCTGGACCATTGCTAATACAATGACCGGCCTACAGAGTGCAGTGAAGGTTAAACTCTGGCCAGGAGTTAATATTTCACTGTCCTTGTAGTTGTACATCGTCGATAATGACGAATCACGTTGAGTGGAGTATTGACGTATTCGAATGGCCACTTTGACACTTGATTTATACGACACTATTAAGCACTCCTTTCAAGATGATTCCCTGTGCTATTTTCGAGTTTCACCTCGAAATAAACATTTCTTTTTCAATTGCTATTTTCCTATAGCAATATAAAAATTATTCACTTTTGAATCAGATATTGGACAAAAAAAATCCACCAACGTCTAGTTAGTGAATTATTGCTTCACACAAAAAAACGAATTATTGGCTGCCTGACAATAATTCGGCTCTCGCAGGGCGGGATATTTGTGCACAAAATGGAATTCCTTTTCCAGAGGGCTGCAGCCGCCCGAAATCGGAATACAGTATTTTTTTAAAAACATAACAAAGCATCCAAATTTGAAAATTAGTCAGGAGATTTTTTTGTGATCAGCATGTGTTGTGCATCATTAACAAGTGACACTGACTAAAAACTGGGGGACCGCCAACAATTTACTGGTATTGGTAGGTATTCCCGAGGTCGCAGGTTCAAATCCCACTTCGGGCAATTTTGTGTTTAAGTTAATTTGACACTTTGGTAAAATGGAACTTTTGGATGACAACGCGGCAGCTGATGTATATAGTGGTGTCGTCGCCCCGTACTACTGTAGAGCCGGTGTAACCGCAGTGCTGTCGATAGAGGAGTTCATTCCTTGTCGTCTGCTCTCCATATCAAGGCCAAATCCAGGACACAATTCTTTTGTGGGGGCCCAACAAAATGTTCCCGAAAAAGTGGGTCCCAAAGTTTTCCGCCCCGAATTTAATATGAAAAGCAAGGGGTTAGCCGAGATTTGTAATTGTTACTGCAGTGACGGCCGCGATCATTTTCAATCGAGTCGACTCTTTTTACCCTCAAAAGCTTAAGTATCGATCATTGTGCAGGTGTTTTCAATAAAACGTAAACCCATGCTGGGGGGACCCTTTGCACTGACGGGGGATCAATTCAATGGGTTCCTTTGTTCAATTGAAAGGAGTGGGAAATATTAACACAACGAATCTCAATACAAACTAAATCTTTCAAAATATAGATGCCATCACGGACACATGCATAATTATACTTTCTTCCATTTCCTGAAAGTATACTCAGACATAGTGAAAGAGGTGCATATTGACTTATCAAATTTTGACTTACCTATCTAGAAACACAAAGAAGAAACCGACGTACGATGTTTTTCCCAATCGATATTGTTCGATTCTATGAATAGCCGCAATCCACGGAATAAACAGATGGAGTGGATTAAGATGAATAGATGTATGCAACAATCACCATAATAAACCATCCATGACAGGTACAGGTATTGAAAATTATCAGTTCCAGATTCTGATGAACGATCCCTTTTTTCCCCAAGCTGTCGTTGAATCGGCGAATGAGTACTTTCCGGCCAGTTTCAACCCGTGGAACTCATGAAGAGGGATCCCTTTCAAAGTACATGTACTTTCTCCTCAACCAACACACAAATTACCAGGCATGGAGCGCGAAAAACACTGAGAGAAAACCGCGTGTTCCTAGCTCGGTATCTGCATGTTGACTGACTCGGACTGGGATATTTTCTCGGGCGACTGTTATATATGGCCCACTGCGCATGTCGAGCTTGGCGGTTGCCAGGCCGCGCGACGTATAGACCTTTCTATCACAGACGGGTGGTTGGCACATTTTGCCAACCACGGGTTGCCAGCCTATGGAATGCCCAACACTGCAAAAATGAAGAATAGTTATTTATGATTACAAAAATATTATTTGATTGTTGAAAATACAAAGTAATCAACAACAACTGCTGCAAAATACTTTCTAAACATGGCTTTTTTATGTAATGAGGGTGTCATGCAAACCGAGGCTTCAATTTATGCCCCTGCGGCAGCCCATACAAAATGACGCTCAATGTTTACAAACAATAGAAAGATTTAGACCTTTCTATTGTTTGTAAACTTTGAGCATCATTTTTGTAAGGACTGCTAATTTGAAGCTGTGGTTGGCAAAATATTGTTTTCCAAAAAAGTCCACATAACGCTCTCATTACATAAGAGAAAAACGCATGTTAAGGAATTGTTTTGTAGCGTTTGTTGATGATTTTGTATTTTCAACAATCAATAATAAAGCTTTCTTCACTTTTGCAGTGTTGGACCTTCCATAGTTTGGCAAAATGTGCCAACCAAACATCGGTCTATACTGATAGGGATCGGATCACCAGTCACGCGCGCGGCACGCGTTGCGGATGGGCGACCAGCGGAAGGGCGCCATCATCGCTAAACAATGAATCCATTTGATTGGTCATTAGGTAGAGGCAGCTGGTCAGACAAGCTTGCATGGTTTTATTTTATTGTTTGCTTTCGTTTTTTTCAGCGGTTGCGCAGATGTGTTTTGCCCTGTCATGGACGACTGCTTAAATTTGATGTTTCGACCGGCGGACCATGAGGGTGGCGGGGGTGGGGGTATTTGGCAAGTAATGCGCCTATCAAATGTCCCCCCCCCCCCCCCCCCCGCTGCCCCAGGTCCGATGTCGGGATCGGGTCACGTTTTTCTTGCCCCAGGGTGGGTTTTTTAGGTCACTCAAATTAGCCTACATTGTTACAATTGGCGTACATGGAAAGGCAATCACTAGTGCGCCCCACGTATGTATGTCCGGGCATGGTCGGGGATTGTCACTTAAGTTTTGCCCGAGGGGTGGGGATTTTGTCACTTCAAAAGTGACAATCCCCACGTCTTAGGTGGGGCAGCCCGGGGGAGGGGTGGGGGAAACAATTGATAGGCGCATAATAGTCACTGTGAACGGTTGGTTCTTTTACTTTATTCCCTTCTAAAGATCCTCCAGATCCCTAAATTAAGAAGAAAAAGTGAAATTTTATTTAACACAAACCAAAAAAACAAACCCCAAAAGATATTCATATTGGGGTGGAGGTGGAGGGAGAAAAAATAAGTATCTTTGGGATTGAAACTCACGATGATCGAATAACACCTGTCAAAAGCACCATGCCACTAGTGCACAGTTGGTTCGACTTCGATCTTGCTCAGTAGATAAAAACCTAGTATAATATTATTGTCTCAAGTCATGTCTTTCACGAAGCTTATCATATGAGTGCTTACACCCGGTTGTAGAGAAAATATAGCGGACGGGGCTCCATGGCGTATAACCTGATGAGGACGAAGGAGAGGAATTAGGAGAAAATGCAGGTGCAAGCAAGACGCAGTTGTCTGTTTGCTTTATACGAAATTACATAACAAATTGACCATACATTTTCTTTCTGTTCTGCAATAATTTAGTAGCCGTGGTTGTCTTACTGTGACTGCATTTTAAATGCTTCGGACAACGTTTGCCGAATTAAAAAATATATATATTTTAATGTTTTCCCCCATTTTATTAATTTGGTAACATATCTCTTTAACATGGACTTACTACACACGTCTTTCACACGAGTTTAACATTCTAAATAGCACTTAAAGCCAAATTGTGATGAGGCATTATTTTGACAATTAAGGTTTGCCAACAGTGAGGTTGTGCAACATCAGGGAATCCGATAAATGACCCGTCACACTCCAAGACGTCAATGGGTGATGTATAGCAATGCCGTGGCTCTGGACTCGAGACGTTATCAAGAAGCGATATATCACGCTGACTGTTATGGAACGCCAAAGAGGCATTTAATGTGATCATCGAATCGGTGATGGACTTTTGCAATCGGTGATGCATATTCACGATCGGTGATGGACTTTTGCGATCGGTGATGGACTTTTACTGGTGATGCATATTCACGATCGGTGATGGACTTTCGCGATCGGTGATGGACTTTTACTGGTGATGCATATTCACGATCGGTGATGGACTTTCGCGATCGGTGATGGACTTTTACTGGTGATGCATATTCACGATCGGTGATGGACTTTCGCGATCGGTGATGGACTTTTACTGGTGATGTTTATTCACCGAAACGGTAATGGACTTTCGCGACCGTCGCATCTGTGTGTTGCGTCGTAATCATTTGCACGTATTATACTTATCTATGTTCCTTGCTCTGGGGCAAGTTAAATTTAATTGCAAATGCGCAGAGCCTTTATTTTGCTCTTCTGTTTTTTTAATACCTTTCGCGAAAATCTGATAAATTTTACTTCCACGTAACCGATGTAATTTTCGAACCATGGTGTGTGTGTTTTATAAGAGTTAAATTTAGATTAATCATTTTTAAGATTAGAAAATATTATCATTGTTTTTCCAAAGAGCAATGATTCGATGTGTACATGTTTGTAATGCAGCATGGTACTCAATCTGCTATAAGAAGACCACTGTGGGAAATAGAGCTAGCTCTATGGTTTGTGCCAGCCATGTCTTCTTTAGCAATCAATCACCTTGTCCCTTTAGCCCTCGCAACAACACGTGCTTCAGGTCTCCACTTACCAGCTACCTTTTTTTTTTTGCAGTCGTGGAATTGGGGCACGATCGAGGTCAATCATTTTTACATGGGGGGCTCACAAATTGGGTGTTCCACATGCAAACGCGTTCCAAGCACCAACTGACGTTCAGCAAAATAATGGAATCCTTTACAATTTTAAGAACATACCTTTACATCATGTACATGATTATAGGCTACAACGGTCTACAATCGAGCCGCAACTTCCGAGATCTTTTCGAGCTTGTCTTAAGTGGCCTTGTCAATTGTATAGTGCACAAACAGAACAGACATTCGCTATTTAACCCAATTGGTTACATTATTCTTTAACTAATGAATAATAAATTATTCACCGGTGTGCACAGTCTTTTTAAACATCGGAGTTATCAAAGGAAAATATTGAATAATGTATAAATAAAAACACACTAAAATTTTCCAATAGGAGTACAACCGCAACAGTTACCTATATTATATGTACCGACAACCTAAACAAAGCTTAGTCTGCCCATGACGCCGGCAGCCTCCGTCGCCCAGAAATCACAGCATATTTAAGTTGAAGAAAGTGGGTTTTTTTTGGGGGGGGGGGTTGGCTGGGATATTTTCACCCACTTACTTTGATAATATAAAAAAAAAACTCTGCACCGATAGCAAAAGTCCATGCAAGGTTGATCACCGAACGTGAAAGACCATCACCCATGGGCGTCACAAGGGGGGGGGGGAGCACGGGGGCGCTTCCCCCCCCCCCCGGAAAAGCCCCCCCCAAAAAAAAAAGATGGGGGAAGAAGACAGAAAAAGGGGCGCGAAGTAATATTGTTTGAAAAAAACCCTCCCTCGAAAAATGATAAATCGTGAATATGCCCCTCTGCAAAAAATTTCTGGCTTCGCACAAATCGTTGTGTTTTATAGCCACATTACCAATGATAGGGAAAACCGGTCGATTTATCAATTGTTATGGTTATATTAATAACGGCAACACCAAACCGTAGTGGGCAACAGCGGAGACTCAAAGCCACGACATACACAATATGCTTGACAATAAATGAAATACATGAACATGAGATATGTGGCAATAATAACAACAAATGAAAATTATACTTGAATTACAAAACAATAACTTCCCACATCATAGCCTCGTGACACTTGAGAGCGCTACGGCAAGTATCAAATTAGCCTAACAAAATAGAAAAACAAGGGATTGAATGGTTCCATTTGCCCCATAAATATGAAGAGCAGGCTGTCTGTATCCTAAAAATTGCGAACATTTTAATCCTTGTAACTGGTATAGTCTCTTGAAACCTTGGAGCACTATAACTGGCGGATGTAAGGGGTGGTGGTGGAAAAACATTTGCAAGGAAAGTTCCTCTGTGTACTGTCCATCATGTGCTCGCTTAAGTGTGCTTAAGTGACCAGAGGCCCCACATATCTATACCAACATTGGCTATTAGATGGATTTATGATGATGATGATGATGATGATGTGACTGCATTCCTGTGCCCCCTGGATGCCTGCCCAGACCCCTCAATAACCCCGCCATATATGCTGTCTCCAATGACCCACACATCAATCATCATACTATGCAAAAACCTTTTATCACGTATTGGTAAAAAAATACTCGGACTCAAATTTAAGGACATGAGAAACACATTGCTGAGATGATTGGTAAAGCTAATAGAAAATTATTCATGTTCAGGAAACTGAAAGAAACTGGTTTTACTCGAAGAACTTGTTACCCTATGTTAGACCAGTCCTAGCAAACACATCGCCGGTTTGGCACTCAAGCATTACACTCAAACAGACCAATGTAATTTAGTCGATCCAAAAGAGTTTGCCGTATTACTCTATCTCTGGATCACCTTTATGATAGAAGAACCACTATGTGTACAAACTTTGCTCTAGGTGCTTTAAATCAGGCAAATTTAATGAGTGGTTTCCTCAATCAAAAAGTTGGCACACTATGAATCTTAGATCGAGTAGAACACTCAAGGAGTATCCCAGTTCATCCAAGAGATTTCGAAATAGCCCCGACTCATCAATAGTTCAACATAGGATGTTCAAATGTATACAATTTTAATTGCTATTATCCGAGTGTATATGTTTTTGAGAATAATGGATTGTTGTGCATTTTGTATGTGTTTCGATTTCTCGTGAAATGTGTTTA